AAGAAGGTGATTGGTTATTTCTAGATTTTTACATATATGTATAATATACATTATATGTATAATATACATTGTATATGTATATATACATTAGGCGTCCCATACTCTCAATTTGCCCAAGGGCGTAAGGTTACGCCGCGCGCCGCGTCACAGGCCGTGTCGCTGTTTTGACCCAGTTCTTATCAATTCTCCAAGCTATAATTTTGGGTTTTTATAGAGAATCGATCAAGGAATACGATATTTTTTTCAAAATTTAAAAAAGTGACAATTGTCTCGAAAATCACGTTTGAATAATATAATTGTTTATAACAAATGCAATAGTCAATTATCTTGGAATTAAATATATAGTCATGAAAGTGTCTTCCAAGAGCTACAAAATGCATTTTTGATGAAGTCTATAGGTTGAATAGAACCGGAGATATAGGCAGTTGAAGGAGGCCGTGTTTTCGATTTTTGGGCTTTTTTGCGAAATTTCAACCCCTTGTAACTTCTAAACTAGGGGTGATAAAAATACAAAAAAAATGTTCTATCTATTCATTTGTTCCAAAGAACCTGTAGAAAAATATATGTTAAAATCAGAGAACTCAAGGTCATTTTTCACCTGTTTGTGTCCGGTTTGACGTGGAATGACTCATATATGGAAATACCAGCAGGAGTACACAGTCCTGGAGATAAAGAAAAGGCATTGTGCGGTCTGCGTGAAGCCCCGAAATGTTGGTACGATAAACTTCATGATTATTCGTTAAGTATTGAGTTTAATAGATCATCTTGTGATCCATGTTTATACTTTTATTGTGATATATATTTAGTAATACACGTAGATGGTATAGTACTGTTTCAAAGTCTGAATTTAAATTAGTGGAATTTAAGAAAAAACTTAAGTTAAAATTAAAAATGACCGATTTAACACCTAAGATCTCTGAAAGTTTGAAGTTTTGGGATTTCATCAGAAAGGTATTAATAAAATTTAATATGACCGAATGTAAATTTTCAGATGTACCAATTAGGGTTCGCAATCTCGAAGAGAAAGTATAATCCCGGGATTATGATATCGATATTTAACAATCCCGGGAATACCGGGATTTCGAGATTGATATTAAAAACTAAAGGAATACAAAGCATAGTTATTAATTCTATTAATAAAAGAAAATTTAAACCAAAAAATATTTCTAGGTGTTTAGCGGCTAAACCAATTCCGCAGAAAAATGAGTTCATTAAGGGTATTATCCCCAAGTAGGGATCTAATTTTTGTACATAGGTTTCTGCTGCCGAAAACCTCCTTTCCGACTCCACACTAGTGGGGACATTAAGAAATCATATTTCAGCTTGAGGAATGCATCCCTACTTCCGCCATTTTCAAAAAGCGACATTTGTTTTTTTAGAGTTGATGTTACCGAATCGGTTGCATTTTTATTGGGTTCATTGCGTTTTTTGTCAATGATTTAAAAAATTGTTAGTTTCAATTTGAGGCTGGAGTAGTAGCATGGCTTTCCCTAATTTTTTTTGTTTAGAATATCGAACAGAGCATCTGATTCTTTATAATTGGGATTGTGCAAATAGCGGATAATACCTGAGCAATAAGTTCTGCGCTAAGCAATCCTTACCCTTAGGGCTTCATATAAGTTGGCACTTATTGAAGTGTTCAACATAAATTTAAATACTAAAAATACCGGGATCATGATTTGTAATCCCGGTATTTTCGGTATTGAAAAACAGACGAGATCCCGGTATTTTCGGTTTTGGGATTTCGGGATTGCGAACCCTAGTACCAATACAAAATAAGTAAAATTTAGATTCTAGTAGCGAAATAGATTGTAATCCTAAATTAGCTTACAGAGTATTAATTGGACAGTTGATGTACATTATGATTGGTAGTAGACCGGATTTGAGTTAAGTTACTTTAAGTCAATTTCAAAAATGTTTTAGTGAAAAGCATTTGCAATATTTAAAAAATGTTTTAAGATATTTAAAGTTAACTGAAAACTTTGGAATAATGTATGCAAGGTCAACTAAAACCAGTGAAAGTGTTGTATCAGCTTACGTTGATTCGGACTTCGCAAACAATGCTAATGATCAGAAAAGTATATCCGGATTTTCAATGAAGATATTTGATAACTTCGTATTTTGGAAAACTAAAAAACAGCCAGGAGTTGCTCTTTCGAGTGCAGAGTCCGAATACATCGCTTTAAGTTGTTGTGCAACGGAATTTATTTTTCTTGTTCAGCTGTTAAATGAAATCTTTCTAAAAGATATATTTCCAGTAAAGATATTTGAAGACAATTAATCATGTAATAAAATGGCCAAAACTTTGAAGACAAGGCGAACAAAACATATTGATATAAAGCATCACTTTATTCGCGATCTAATAAATAAAAGGAAAATATGTCTAGAATACGTTCCTACAGGCGAACAAATAGCTGATGTATTAACCAAACCTTTATTAAAGAGAAAAGCTTGGTGTTGTAAAACTGTAAATCGAATGTAAAATTGAAGGGGTGTGTAGAACACTGATGTAACCAGACAGAACGTAGCTTGATGTACGTAAATGTGTCATATTTTATCTATCTTGATTTTTACACATACAATAAACCAAGTTTGTTAACATTTTATCGGTGTTTTATTGCCAAATTCTGCACCTGCTTATAAAGAGGAGCACTTTTAAGAAACGCAACGTTTAAAACGATTATCTGTATAAACAGAGCACAAACCCAAACCACAAGAATTGTAAACAACAAAAATGGCCGCCGTTAAACTCTGTGCAGTGTTGCAGTGAAATATTAATTTCTAGTAAGATATAGAACATACCTTGTTGTGGAGATTGTGCATTTATATATTTATTTTTATTTTTTGGGGCTAGTTGCATAACTCCATTTATTTTATCTATTGTCAAGCATTTTTAAATGTTTTTAAATTAATAGGAAGGGTATTTTAATAGGAGTATAGACATTTAATTTCTATGAGGTGATATGTTTTCAAGTCGACAGTGTGGCCATATTTGAAATGTCAAAATCTTGTGTCACTGTTAATTGTATTCAGATAGGCAATTAAAAAAAAATTATACAATTTTTTCGAATCAAAATATTCGTTCTTTTATTGCAACTTATCGTGCACTTTTTTCAATTTATGGTCGTCATAATCGGACTAGCGTGCTCGCTATTTGTCGAACTGGAAAGTTTTGAATGCAATGTTTACACGATGATCGCATTCCAGTAAGAAAAAGATCCAGCTAAATTGACGAGAATATTGCTATCGTTCAAGCAATTGTTAATGAAACCCGAATTGATTCCAAGGCGTTCTCAACAGTTGGGAATTTTACGGTTGAATATGGACTTAGATCCTTACAAAATTGTTATGACGCATGACGCCTTTGGATCAACGGAAGAGCTTATTTGCAAAGAAAATCTGTTAATAAACAAAATTGTAATTACTGTTCTGATGTCAGCCCACAAATTATTCACGAGGAACCTTTATATTCCGTAAAAGTAACCGTTTAATGTGGTTTGTGGTACGGTTGCATCATTGTTCCTTATTGTTTTCGAAAGTGAGCAAGAAGTTGCCGTTATTTTCATTGGTAAGCGACCCATGATATAGGACTTTTCATGACCTGAATTGGAAGATATTGATTTAACAAACATGTTCAACAGAACGGCGCTACGTGCCACACAGCCCGTGCCACAATCGATGTATTGCGTGAAAAGTTCGGAGTATCAATAATTTTAAGAAATTCAGATTTCGAATGGCCGCCCAGAATTTGTGATTTAATACCTTCGGACTTTTTCTTGGAGGGTTATTTATGCCAATAAACCAGCTGATGCATTTCATGACCTGAATTGGAAGATATTGATTTAACAAACATTTTCAACAGAACGGCGCTACGTGCCACACAGCTCGTGCCACAATCAATGTATTGCGTGAAAAGTTCGGAGTATCAATAATTTTAAGAAATTCAGATTTCGAATGGCCTTCCAGAATTTGTGATTTAATACCTTCGGACTTCTTCTTGGAGGGTTATTTATGCCAATAAACCAGCTGATGCATTAAAATTGAATACTAAACACCAAATTCGTCAAATTTATTAAATAAAGTGGTCGAAAACTGGACTAATCGTATTCGGCCATTTGGTATTGAAATGACGTCCTTTTCATAATTGCATCAATTGTACTTCAAAATGAAATAAATATTGTTGCTTTAACTCATTTGGATATTGTTTTATTTACATAGAAACATCACTCTTATTAAAAAACCCTTTATTTATTTGTCCCTTACAAACTTTAAGTTTGGTTTTTATCCCATTTGATGCAATTTTTAGATTACTCAGTTCGGCTACCATTAAAAAGGTGTTTCCGAGATATACGAGATTATAATAATTGTTATATTGCATTATTTAAGAGGATTAAAAGGTATATGATAACAAATTTTATATTTTAGTTAAAAAAAACTAAAAAGGGCATTCCATGAGCCTCGGGACTTTTTGCCCTGACCGTCACATTAAAAAATTGTAGTTTTTTCAATTAAAAAAATTGTTATCTTTTAGTCCTTTAATGCTATATAACAATTATTGTAATCTCGAATATCTCGGAAACGGTTTATTTTATCGAAGTTTGAGAGGTACACCTTTTTAATAGTAGCCGAACTGAGTAATCGAAAAATTGCATCAAATGGTATAAAAACCTAACCTGAAAGTTTGTATGGGACAATAAGCTTAAGCAACCCCTATTTCTACGACACTGTGTTCACTCGAACAATTGTAATTATGTGTGAAAATGTGTTTTGGTAGTAAGTAACTGTTCGCAAAATATCACCTTTCCAAGTCTAACATAGTAGAAATTATATTAAAAAAACTGATATGATAAGTAACACTTTATCACCCTGTATCTTTTAAACATACGTAATTAGGAAAAATATTTATTTAGATTTTCGTCTTATTTTGACTTGCTTAATCTGCTCCTAAATTTATGCCACTGTCCCACATTGTATAATCTAAAACAATATTTTTGTTAAAGGTGATATTGTATATTGCTTTTGTGGCGATTATGGTACGCATATACACTTTACCACTCTTTGCTTTCCGTCCAATGTATTACACGATACGAAACTTTAAAAAAGCCTTTAGCGACGTTATCTTATCACGACGAGCTATTCATAATATGAATACTCTTTACCCAGATGCCACACCTGATGAGCTAAGGGCAGCAGATAATGTATGTATTATATGCCGCGAAGAGATGACTACTGCCTCTAAAAAATTGCCATGCAATCATATATTCCATACCTCATGTTTAAGGTAAGTCTATTCAAAAATTCAAAATTGACAAGCGTAACATTTTATATATTGTAGATCGTGGTTTCAAAGACAACAAACTTGCCCAACATGTCGTCTAAATATTTTAAATTCTTCAACTAACAATAATGATCCAAGACAAGATCAGAGACGCCGTGTAGTTCCTCCTCCTGGAGCGGCAGCGGCTGCAAATCCCCCTAATCCATTTTACAATCCATATCTTGCGGGTGCGAATCCCTTTCAAATCTTTAATCAACCAAACGGGCCCCAGCCTCAACATCCTGCGCCACAAGCAAACCAACAGCCTCCAGCTCATCCAAATCATACTCCAAATATTAGTGAAAACGCAGCTCCCCCCCAAGCTCCCAATCAAACATTCCCGGCATTTGCTTTCCCACCATTCCCTTTTTTGCCTTTTATGGCACCACCGCCAATGCCACCTACAAATTTAAGAAGTCTAAGTGCCGAAGAATTGCGTCGCATGGAAGGCAATGAGATGGAAAATGTTGAAGCGAGAATCCAATGTCTAAGAAATATCCAGGTATGTTCCTATGATGATAAAATACAATCCCCCAAACACTGGAAATACAACTAAATATTACGCCCTCAATGCATTGCAATGTGTTATCTAAATATCTTAAAAGTATTTACACTTTCTAGGATTAAATTTTATCTCATAAAATAATAATAATGAATTTATTTAATGTTATAATACATACAGTATTTATAATTGTCAGGGTAGGTACAATCAATGTATAAAATATAGGCACATAAAGATTTAATTTTAAAAATACATAGTTCAATCACATTATATCAGTTCAAAAATTTATTATAGAAATAAAAGTGATTTTAGAGTAATTTTAAAGACGTCAATTTTTTTGCTTCATATAATTTATTGCAAAACTTGAGAGCTAAAAATTTCAATATCTATTAAGGTTTACAAAGTCGGAAACTTGGCAAGATTAGTTTTTTTCTTGCATTGAGGTGAATCCGGAAAATTTGGATCTGCAGTTTCTGAGAAGGTAGATATTTTTAGCGGACATCCCATTCAAGAATCAATGACAACACCGAAAAATTTGGCCTGTTCACTAAATTCTAACTCTTTGTTGTTTTTTTGCTAATGGAAAAATGCATAAAGATTAGGGTGTTGTTTTTAAACGCTCTAGTGTGAAAAAGTTTCATATTATAATAAAAAGAAAATCAGCATAAAAAATCAAAATCTGTTAAAATCTTCCGTTCGTCCATCGTACTTAAAGTTTTTAAAAAATTGCAAATTTTTTGTAATTTTTTTCTGTAAGTTAAAATAAACACGCTTTAGTTTGTTATGCTTGTTTCATGGTTTAAATAACCTAAATAAATTAAATTCTGATAAATAATCTATTTTTTTCAGTTCGCACAACGTCTTTAAAACAACATAAATTTACTAATATTTCGCAATTTCCGCTGTGCAAATCTTAATCAACCCCACGGCCACCACGCTTTGTTGTTTTGTGTTATATTTATAATAATATTTATAATAATATTTATAATAATAATAATAATAATAATAATAAAGAGTCTTTATTTAGTAAATAAGTTTACATAAATTGTTGGGCGAAGTCTAGCCAAGGCCACTCCACTTAACCCATTTATTTACTGTTTATTTTAATTATCTAATAATGAATTCAGTTGGCTTATGGGACTTCTTAAGAAGTAAGGGTGGAACTAAAAGAGCACTTTTTTTTTTTTTTTTGAATATGTTACAAACTATTCTCACTAGAAGTGTGATTGCCGACTCTAGGCAGGAGTTTTATTGCTCTATATTTGGTGAACGAAGAAGTTTTTTCCAAAATAAACTGCCAACATATGAATGTGTTCTTAGATGCTGTTTTGAAGATAGATACAATTTGTCCCTCGTGACAAACAACAAAAATGGAAGTTTCTCTAAAGTATCTTCTACAGTAGCAAAACAAATGGAATGTTTGTATGATAAAGCATCTATTCCTTCGTTGTCTGACTGTGCAAAGAAGTTCCTAAAATAGGAGGGTACTCGGAAATTAATGAACACAAATACAGTCTTATTGAAGATACGGAGTACGAGCAAGATGAATACAAACCAAGTACATCGACTAAAATGGCAGATGAGAAGTCAACCTAGCTCAACAGCGATCGGTTCGGAGTTCCTGATCGGGCAACAGACGTTGAGATGATAACTGATACATATTCTTCCTGTGTGATTGATAAGTGTAAAATAAGAAGAGACAAGAGTCGTGCTAGGACGAATTTAAAAAGTCAATTCACACCTTCTGAGGATCTTGGGGTCTTTTATTGACGGACGAAAATATGATACTTTGTTCGTCGAAAAGTTGAATGCCAAGCAATTTCGCAGGAGTCAGAAAAAAGAACACTATTCTCTTATCCAGGAACCTGGATCAACTTATATTGGACATGTATCTCCTTCCTCGAGTTCATCAAATGATATAACTCAAAGCATTATTTTTCGTTTGTCTCAACTATTTTTTTTTTTTTTTTATTGAAAAGTAATATCCAAATAGCCGAAATGGGCTTTGACAGATATGTAATTTACAAATAAATTTAAAATTAACATTTAGCAATAAATAATTAAATTATACATGAGTCTTCTTGTCTTTGGTCCACTAAATATTGCTTGACACTCTTAACAAACTCTGTTTCATTTTGCTGTTTGATCTCGTTTGGTAATTTGTTGTATATTTTGATGCCTTCTGTAAGTATTCGTTTTTCGCCTATTTTGGTTTTATGTGTGACAAAATTTAGTTCTTGATTTCCTCTGGTGCTGTATTGATGTACGTCGGCTCTTGTTGTTATTTCTATATCTTCGTCTTGGGTTTGTTTGTTTAAAATTTTCCTTACCAATTTTATGGTCTCCAGCTTTCTAAGTTCTTCTATTGTTAAGGTTTTTGTTTTACGGTATACTTCAGTTGTTGCAGTATGCCTTGGTAGTCTGTGCAAAGCTTTTAATAGTTTATTTTGGCTTCTTTGCAATTTGTCTAAATCTTTTTTGTTTCCTGTTGCCCAGAATGATATTAGGTAAGTCAGCTTGCTTTTAATATAGGCTTCATATATCAGTTTCCTTTCCTTTTCCTGCAGTACATCAGCTACCTTATGCGCTAGTCCATTATAATATGCCATTTTTTTGTTTTGAGCTCTTATGTGTGATGTCCACTTTAAATTTTTGTCAAGAATAAGACCTAAGTATTTAATTTTTGTTTCTTCACTAATAGCATCATTTCCGATTTTTATATTTAGGTTATGGTTTTTTATTTTGTTCTCAAAATGTATCAGATAACATTTTTTGCTGTTTATCGTTAATTTTTTTGTGTTTGTCCATTTAAGTAGTTTGTTAATGTCATTTTGAATTTGTTCTTGCGTTGTTTTGTTATCATTATTTACATAGAAAAACGCAGTATCATCCGCATATATCATTATCTTACCAGAAAAATTGTACAGATCCAGGTCATTTATATATAATAAGTATAGGTAAGGACCCAAAATGGATCCTTGGGGTACCCCAAAATTTATATTTTCCCATTCACTGACTTCGCTTCCAACTTTTGTGTACTGCTTTCTATTTGTTATATAAGATCTGAACAGTTCAAGCGCTTTCCCTGCCACTCCCATTTGTTTTAATTTTTTTATTAATATTGACGGTTCTACTGTGTCAAACGCCTTTTTAAAGTCTAATATAAGAGCAGTTACACATTTTCCTTCGTCCATTTTAGTTTGTATGAAATTTAATAAATTTGCCATAGCTGTTTTGGTGCTTTTTTGCTTCTGGAAACCATGCTGTGCCTTTGAAAGTATGTTTAAATTTTGTATGTGCGTTGCCAGTTTATTGTGTAGTATTGTTTCAAATATTTTGCTAAATACAGTTAAATTTGCGATTGGTCGATAGTTGCTGGGATCCGTTTCTTTACCAGATTTGTGAACAGGTGTGATTCTAGAAATTTTTAATTCTTCCGGGAAAACTCCTAGTTTAAAGTAGTTGTTTATTAATTTTGTTATGATTGGTGCAATAATGTTTTTTAGTTCTTTTATTAGTTTTGGTTTGATATTATCATAACCTGCTGCGGAGTTTGATTTAAGTTTGTTGATCGTTCTTATTACCTCCTTATATGTTGTCGGTTGCATATACATGGATGATGTGGCCGCGTACTTTTTTTCATCCTTTCCAAGATTTTCTCCGTTTATTTTCTTAGCTAGGTTCTCACCTACATTAATAAAATAGTTATTTAAAGTTGTCGCTATTTGTTTTTTACTCGAGGTATTATTTCCACTTTTAGTTGTTAGTTCTTTGATGTCATTTGCCTTAAGTGTTTCTCCGTTTTCTAGATTTTTAATAATAGTACAACAATATCATTACAAAAACTAAAAGTAGTAGCGTGTGATGGCACTGTAATCAACACTGGATGGAAAAATGGTGTCATACACCGGCTAGAAAATCAGTTTGAACGCCCGCTACAGTAGAGCATATGCCGTCATTTTGACAGTTACCCATTGATTTTATTTTATTAGTTTTTGTACATCTATAACGGTATAGATGTGAACTGTTAAGTGGTTTATTTTGACTAATTGTTAAGTATATTTTTAATAAGGATATTTGTTTAGTTGCCTCTTTCCAAAAGAATTTAATTATATTTATTCTTTTGTTTATTACCTTGTTTTGATAGTATGCAACCCAGAACACTCCTCATTGGTTTTTAGTTTTCTCGACATTGGCAACTTTGTGTTTTTTTGTTTAAATAATCTTCTACGAACTTAACAAGGTTTACGCTTTCCTTTTCCATTTGATCGCTGAAGCCGTTTGGTTGGGAGTAAGCTTTGGCTTAGAATTTGGATAGAATTCCAAAGATGTGTAGTAATTCTCCTGGTTGAATGGCACAGGGCCGGATAAAGCATTAATTGTGTCGTATGAATACTCAGGGTGAGTTAATAGTTTTTTTTTGAGTGTATCTTTTTCTATTACCCACGAGGTTTTCCATTTTAGTCAGCGATGTGTTTCATTCTGCAGTTTTGTTGAGCTATTTCCATCGTTTGAAAGGTTAATTTTTGAAGATTAAAAACCTCTTAGACCATGGGTAAGTTTGACGTTTTGTGGTTTTTTCAGGATGCTTAGGCGTCATACTGTTTTAAGTACAAGTTTGCTGGTCTTGAATACGTATTTTTTATGTTGGAGGTTTTTTGTAAGACTTTTTATGTCAGATTTGTTGTGAAGGAATGGTTTTTTTTTACCCTGAACTTGTTTTGGATAATGGCAAGTTCTTACGTTACTGAAAAGCCATCCTGGAAAATCTGACATAGTGCACTCTACCAGGGCCCCAACTGCGTTCAGGTCGTACCAAATTTGAATATTTATGTTAGAGAACAAACACTACACTCTTTATACGTTTGTGTACTTTTGAGTCGAGAGTTCGACATAGTCTTCAACTTTTAAATTGTAGTTATTTTAAATATATTTTTTTGTCATCGATAATATTTTATCTGTTAATTTAGTCTATTAGACTTTGGTTTTTGTAAACCATATACGGCCATATAAGGGTGCACCAAAATTATAAATCGAACAAATATTTAATATTACATGAAAAGTGGTCACTTCAACATCGGTGAAACAAATATATCTTTGATTTATTTTTTTTTAACTTGACTTTTAATAACCACCCTTAATCTTTAGTAAGATTGTGTCTGATTTACTTAGACTTTACCAACTGGCCTTATACACGTAAGTATCGAAAAACAACATTTGCCCATCGACCTATCTCTCCGCTGAAAAGCTGCCGTTCGCCATAGCCCTCGAGTTGAGGTTACAAACTGCAGGGCCTAAAACTATTAGTGGGTCAATCGGACAACTGTTGTAACAGCTCACTAACTGTAAAAAAACTTCGGTTTTCTGATATAGACAGGAATTTTTTGAGCAAAGACCAACAGTATTTTTTGGATATTTCAAATGCATTAACCTTGGGACATTGTCTAAAAGACTTGGCAAATTGGGACTTTGTCCCATTCCAGATGGCTAACTGCGGCCAACCGAGTTCTTAGGTTGTATATAAGTTTATCAGATCCATCCGGACATTTTAAAGAAATAGTTGGTTACATCTTAAAATCATACGTGCCTGTGTGGTTTGCCATAAAAAAGAACAAATATTTTTTTGACGGACAAAACATGTCTTAAAAGCAATCCAAACATCACGGTATTTATCCAGTAATACAACGAAATGCGTTATTTGCGCACCCAGAGATTATTCTGATGGCAATTCTTGTCGATAAAAGAGAACATATTCGGATGCTAGGTTACAGAAGGATCTTAAAAGCAAGGCAAACCGTTCCCAGGAAAAGTCTGTTAAAAATTTCGTACTACCAAAAATAAACTTTCAAGCTTCAGATTACATTAAAATTATTAATTAGAATTCTTGTACAATGTATTCTCCCCCCTTGTTGCGGGACCTAAGTGACAATGATATTAAATCAATTATCAATTCTGACAGTACGCCCATCAGAGAAATACAAAATTTTCCCTGCCACACCCAGGCTGTGCAGAGGTGCCTCCAATTTGTGACACAGGCCTCGAATAAAGTATACGGACATAAGGCTAGAGATGGCTATATCATAAAATCTAGATCGCTTATGTTTAATTTCTTTAAAAAATCAGACTGTAGTAGATATGAGAAAGTAAAAAACAGTCCAAACATCCAAAGAATCCTACCAACAATTTGGTGGATGGTTGGGTAGGGTGGAACTCGACGTGCAACCACCTCCACGTGGGGAGTTCTTGGTCGTTTTTTTAACAAAACGAGCGAAGAGTTGCAGAGTGAAAATTGCGAAAAATTTGTAAAATTCTGTTTTATTTTAAGACGTTGCGCAAACGGAAAAACATAGATAAAAACATCTATAATCAGAATTTAAATTATTTTGATTATTTAAGCCATAAAACAAAAAACAAAGCGTGTTTATTTTAAAAGTTTTAACCAATTATAAAAATTAGTAAAAAGGATTCATAAACATTAGGTACGATTTTAATTTTTGTATGCCGTTTTTCTTTATCACAATAGGCAACTTTTTGTAACTAAAGCGTACCAAAAAAATGTATTAATTTTTTCGACCCAATCTAATATAGATGGTTGTTGGCATTTAAGATCAATTGGTTTTCAGAAAACGCGTTAGAAGCACCCGACTGTAGGTCACTAGATTGTGCCACCAGAGCCTTCAAATCAGTGTTTCCCACGGTGTCTTCGGCAAAAATGTTGGGCAGATCGTTAATATATATTAAAAATAAAATAAAAGGGGCCCTGGATTGAACCTTCTGGAACTCCACAGTTAATCAAACCCTTTTGCCGATTTTACTTCACCTACCATAACTTGTATAGTGTTGCCCCTTCTGAAATCAAATTATTTAGCACAACATATTTTAGAGAAGATTGGCAATAATAAGATAGGTGACCTATCATAGGTCTATAGTTGTTTATGTCATCAGCAATGCATATTTTAGTGTATGCCAAACCAAATTATGTTAAAAAACTTAATTGACTTATATTATTATTAATTTTATTTAATAAAGTTTATTATTATTTTTTTAATATTAATAACTAGATCTTAGGATGTTTGAGCCACAAATCATCTAAAGTTTGATTTGAAGAAAACATCTTGAATATATTTTTTTTAGGTAATGTTAGATGCTGCCATTGTAATGATGCAACAGTATTCAGCAGCTGCTGCAATTTCCTCGCAAATACCAATACGAATTCCATCAAATACAGTGCAACCAAATTCTTCTTTGCATAATGCTACCAGAGTTAATCCTTCCAACGAAGCAAATTCAAGTAGACAGAATGGTGTTTTAACAAGTAATACTCCTGAACCACTGACTAATTCAGATAAAGAGGCCTATGTTTCAAACCTTAATGGAGAAAGCAGGTAAATTATATCATAAATAAGTTTAGTATCGTGTTAAAAGTTTTATTATTATTATAAAAAAAATAGTTAGTCAAATCTATAAATAAAATTTTATAAACTGGGACAAATTTTAAATACATAGTTGCGAGTAGTTCGGAGAGTATTTCACATATAATAACGGTGTCAAACTACCGCTAAAAGAAATAAATCAACAAATATTAACATACAGGGTGTTCCAACGAAAACTTGTACCCCCCCAAACGTTTTATCGGATGAGTGTGGACAAAATTCCTTGGACACGTCAATTTTTATTTTTAGGGGGACGAATTTTTCACGCCCCCACCCGCACCCCTACACGCTCCACCCCGCCCGCCCCCTAAATTTTAAATTGTAAGGGGGGTTGAGTGATATATCATTTTAAAGGTCTTTTAATTCTTAATAAGGTTCTGTATTTTTTTAAATCTGTTGGTTAGTTTTGGAGAAATTGCTATTTGAAGTTTTAAATTTGGTAAAAAAAATAAAACAAAAAAACTGTAAATCAACGAATGTATTGTTTAAAGTGATTTCCTCCAACCTCCATGCAATAGTACAGACGTTGATTAAAATTATTTCTAACATTTTGAAATACGTCTGGCGTTAATAACCGTCATTCTCTAATAATTCTTTCCCTCAATTCCTGAAGAGTCTGGTGGAGTGGCATAAACTTTTGATTTCAAATGTCCCCACAAAAAAAAATCTAACGGTGTTAGATCAGGAGATCTAGGGGGCCACTCTATAGGACCCCTTCTTCCAATCCAACGTACTGGAAAATGTCCGTCCAAAAATTGTCGTACCTCAAGAGTATAATGCGGAGGTGCGCCGTCCTGTTAAAATGTAATTTGATCTTCAAATAAATTATTATCATTATCTAGAATTTCGGTAATCATTGGATCAATAAGATCTTCCAACATTTCTAGATAAATGTCTCCATTGAGGTTGCCGTCTATGAAAAATGGACCAACAAGATAGTCCCCTAAAATTCCGGCCCAAGCATTTAACTTTTGGGGAACTTGGGTGTGGGGTTCATGGAGCAAATGTGGATTAGTATCGCTCCAATAGCGACAATTATGTCTATTCACTTGTCCATTTAACATAAAAGTGCACTTATCCTAAAAACATGTATTATACAAAAGATTAGGATTAATAATCAACTGCTCACTGAAATATTCTCAAAACTGTAACCTGCGATCAGGGTCATCTTCATTAATTTCTTGAACCAGCCGAATTTTGAAAGGATGAAACTTGTTCATTTTCATGATGCGAAACACACTGGTGGCGGATACGCCAGAGGCTTGAGATAATTTCCTGATAGACTGTGTATTATCCATTTGTACATGACCCAACACAGCAACTTCTATAGCTTCATTTCTTACTGGACGGTTTGCCTCACGTTTTTTGTTGTGGATGGAACCCGTAGTTTGAAACTTAGCTACTAATTGTTGAACGTATTGGTAACTTACGTTTTTTTCGGGATGATTATTATTAAAAATTCGTGCCGAGGCGTTTGCACAATCATTATTTCGATAATAGGTTGCAATAATTTCCGTTCTTTCTTCAATGGAGTATACCATTTTGAGAATACGTTGTAAGGTTCACAACGTTAAACTAAAAAGGTTCAGAAAGCTAAACTGATAACGACTTATTGAACAGAGCAATAGGCATTTACTAATTATTCTTGATAAATGCATTTAAATAAATCCGTGTGGCGCGTGCGCGCGTTACCATGGCAACCTCATAAAAAAATGTCATGCATGCATGTACTTTGAACATTAAATTCTTTAATTTACAATTTTGTTGTTTTTTTATTAATCAAATTTAAAACTTCATAGCAATTTCTCCAAAACTAACTAACAGATTTTAAAAAAATTACAGAACCTTATTAAGAATTTAAGGGGCGGGCGGGGTGGAGTGTGTAGGGGTGCGGGTGGGGGCGTGAAGTATACATCAAAATTCGTTCCCCTAAAAATAAAAATTGACGTGTCCAAGGAATTTTGTCCACACTCATCCGATAAAACGTTTGGGGGGGGGGGTACAAGTTTTCGTTGGAACACCCTGTATAATAACTTTTATTACCCATTAACAATAAGTTGTAACGAATGCTTAACATTTAAGGCGTTGGCGCCCAATCCTTCTGAGGATTAAACTTGCTGCAAGGCCCACAGCTCCAGTAAAATGAGGAAAACTCTAGCCGCGTTAAATTTGACGTTTGATTAAACGTCATAAGGCATCAGTGGGTCAATGCCGGTTAATTATCTTTGCAGTCTTCTGTTTGCTCTGTTTAAGGGGTCTTTGTTAAGCGACTAACTGGATATTTTTTATTTTCTGTAAGAAAGTGAACAGTGAGTGGCCTTGCAGCTGCGCTGCGTATTTGCAATATTTTTCTTATGTTCTCTGCTGATTCCAATTTCTTGGGCCGTTAGGTTCAGCATGATTTCGCGACTCCGGCTAATCCTGCACTTACTCCATGGCAGTTGGGAAGTGTGGAATTTTGGGATAGGTATACCTATCTATAGACAAATTTACATTCTTTTAATTTAACGGACGGACTAAAATGAATAAAATCACGCACTATGCAGGTGATATTCGAAAACTCAAACAAAAACATTGAACAGGGCCGTATTTAAAGCTAAAGATATTCAAACGATATTTAATTATAAAAATATTAATCGTATCATAATAAAAAATAAAAAAAATCCTACATAATTAAAATCATTAACTTCAGGTGTTTGATCGCTTGGTCGCTTTTAGTATCTTCAACGTTATCCTTTACATGTTAAACGTACTTTTCTATGGAACGCTGTTTTAGTTTTTATTAACAACTAAAATAAGAATTCATATTTTAAAACAAGGGTACGTGCTTCCTATACATTTTCCCTATAAAAATTATTCAATTCATTTATCAAATTCGTATTTCCATTTTCGGAAAAAGTAAAAATAAAAGAAAACTATCAATTTAAAACGAGTATTTGAAGGTGTTTACATATTTAAACAAAATTTTAAAAGTATAGAAATTTGCAGAACATTATAAAATATGTGTACCTAACAACGAAATTTCACTTTTATCTTATATCTTAGTCTTATATTTATTTGGTTTTCGACAAATCTCAATTTCCGTTAACGAAAATTAATATCTGTTCACGAAAATAGAACAGTTATTTTAATTAATGAGTAAATAACTTTCTTTATAAACAATTTCAATGGTGTATTAATTTATTTTGTTCTTTAATTTCTCTGGTACATGAATTTACATGCTGCGTGTGCTGTTTAGTTACAATTTCTTTGGTTTATGTATTTTTTTCCATTTCAATTTCAGTGTTAGGTACATTTTTGGCACCAATTAATTAATTAATTCTTATTATCGGAACTAGCACCATCTAGTGTCGCCCAAGTGAACTAGCGGTAGTTCAGTTGTTGACAAGAGTCTAGCATCCATTCACAGATCCACTTGGGTTTTGTTGTTCCAAGAGTTCGCTTCGCTGAATGAAAGAGTATGAAAATATTTGACTTCGTGATCCTGGAGGGATAAAATCGGAAACCCAGCACAAAAATACGCCGGTCAGTGCCAAATATACAAAATCTACAATATATTAATTGATTTACGAATGATTTCCAGGGGGGTGAAACTCATACAGGAATAAGCGCAACAAGCGCCTTCCTAGCAATGTATGCCATATATTCTTTTTGTGGCATAAGTCACAATTGTGGCCTAAGTCATCTTTTTTAATAGGTAATTATTATAATTGTCAAGTTTGACTTCTTAAACCATATAAAGAATAATTACCACGATAAAGATCTTTTTCTATTTATGATTTATTATATATGAACTATTTCTAATACCTTAAAGTTACAGTAAGTAAATAAATTAGTTGCTTTTATAATGTGTTTTATAGATTGATATGCCTATTAAAATTAGTGTATTATAACGATTTACTATTTAAAAACATATAAATAAATATTTCTTTTTCTATGATTTCCACGATGGATGGGTGATCTGTCGTATGGTGCATGATTGGAATTTAACTATAAAATGGAGTTTGAGCAATGAAAAATGTATTATATTATTTATTATCTGTAATTTTAGGTAATAATTTTTTTGCATTTTGAGTTCTTTACAATTTAATTTTATTTAGATACTCTCTTCTCCATAGCACAATTTGTTCTGTTTCTATCAATAAGCTATTCCGCCCTCGTTTTTGCCATTTAAAATTTAATGCTTCAATTTAAATGTGTAAAATTTGGCAACATGGTATCTTAATTCACTTCCTTTAATATGGACTGTAGGTATTTTATTTCGGAAAACACTTTTCTTCTAATCGCATGCTGAACAGCATCGTCCAGCAAGATTTTATAATGCTTTTACATATTTCATTTTTATTATTTGCTATTATTACTGTAGCGAGTACCGCTCTGGATCTCGTAATGATGAGTCATCGCCGGAGAGTCGGCGCCCGAGCGATCGAGAACAGTGTGGAGCTCGCTGGAATGTTCGGGAAGGCGCTTGCGTGACCTGAATCACGTTCGCATTGAATATAAAAGGAACAGCAGCATGGAGCAGTCAGTCAAGCTTTGGTACTCGCGACGAAATAAATAAATAGACTCTTGTTCAGTAGTGATATATAAATAATTATTATTTAAGTTAGTATAGTTTCGTAGTGTTTTAATTATAATTAAGTTATAAAATAAATAGTTTAGTTCGTTAATAAACCAGTGCGTGTAAACAGTAAACAGTAAAATTTTAAAAACGTTACATTACTAAAGACTAAACAACGGCATACTCCTAATTTGCTTACGACTTATAAAGCAACATTATTAATTCTTACGTTAGTACGTTCAGTTTCCATGGAATGTTTTATGAACTTATTGCTTTTTTAAAACCGGTCGTTAGAAAGATGCAGACCGTAATAATTCCCGACTTGTGCAATTTCACAACACTAAATACCTCGGGTAGAGAGGGCAAGAAATAATGGCTACAAATCCGTCCGTTGAAATGCCGGACTGCCGTACCTAATGCCTTTGTGCGTACGCGCTTGTCCAGCATTTATTTACTTTCACTATTTATAGTACAACAAAACTAAATATAAACAAATAATTAAAGCATTTTTAGGGTTAAAATAAGACGAGAAATTCAATGAAACCATCAGAATTAATAAAAACAAATGACCAATGACAAAAAAACAACTTTTTTGCTGTAGCACAAAATGCTAGTTTAGTAGTATTTTAGTAATGCGTAAAACATTCCGTAGTTAACTGTACACCTGACCAGCCAACGTATTGGTTCGTCTAAATATACTTTGGATAATTTTGGGTTTTAAAAAATATTAAATAAGAAAATAGTACAAATAATAATTTACCATGATTATTGATAGATAGAAGAAGATAAATAAAAGTAATTTATTTTTTTAGTTTATCCAGTACAATGAATAATGAAATTGGTACGGAGTCGGACCGAAGTTCACCGTCTCCGGAGGAAGAAGTAAGAAGAAGAAGACTGCAAAAGTTTTTGCAAAATGAACAGAATGAACAGCAGTAAAAGTGCGTGAAAGTTATATGATTTTTTTTATCTTGCAATGAAGATTGACTTTTATATATGCGGGTTTAATTCTTCTCGTACCATTTAAAACAACTTGTGTCACTTTTATAATATTTTAATTGGATTAGTAGATATACATTGGATATACCTAAATTATTAACTTTAAGGGCCTTTTGCACTGACAAATATTTAAATTAAGTATTATTTAAACTGAAAATATTTAACTTAATGGTATTTATTTTAAATTATACTTAACGATAAGTGGTGATGCCTGTGCTATTTAAATGTGAGACCAGATTCAACATATTTGTCTATATAAACGGTCCTAGTGGTACGAGTTTTTAAAGTCAAGAAATAGTTTTTAAATTGTGGCATGAATTCACTAAAAAAATATTATAGAAATGCCAAAGGTATATGTGCTTAATTAAAAGGTTTGTATGTATAAAAATACTTTTGACTTTAAGAGGTTATAATAAATTGTATACCTAATTAGAAGAATTAATTTATATTATTTAAAACCACTTTTATTGAACCAAATAAAATGTCATGTTTAAACTAGTAGGTATGATTTTATATTGCATTATCAAAATACGGGTATTTTGATTTAATTACCACATCATTGTCCTAAAAACAGAAAACAGAATAATTCTAAAATAAAAATATGTCAAATAAAAATAGGGGTTTCATGAAGAATTCTAAGAAGATTTGGCCTTTTTAATATCGCCATGTGATCCCTTGATTTTTCACAATCTTGTGAAAATCATTATTGTTTGTTAAAACGAGTAGCCCTTATGCAACTTTAGAGAGTATACGGGGTGTTTTTTTTTTGTTTTTGATTTTGAAACTTTAAAAATTAGAAGAATATTTTTCTAAAATTCATTTTGCGGATACTACTAAATCGATTCACTTGATATTTACAGGTTTTTACGTAGAAGCCCATGAATTCAGAAAAATTCGGTTGAAAAAATATATATCCCTATTTATAAATAAATGCTTGTCGAGAATCGAGAACGTGTCTCGACACGGCAACCGATCATTGCAATGCGTCGGTCGCCACACGTTGGGTTGGGTTGGGTTGGGTCTACAATTATCAAAACATGGCTTATTTTGGTACACATTTTTAAGAATACTAAATGTATATAATTATATTTGTGAAAGTGAAAAACAAATTTGAAATGTTTTCATAAAATGAAAAAATATTTTGATGAATAAAAATTATATTATTAAAAATTATAGACTCTTATCAATGTATATAATATTTTTTATCCTTTTAAAAAAACCATTATAATAATTTACTCAAATAAAAAGATAAACTGCAAGCGTCCACAACCTTCCGCAGATTGTTGATGCGGGTGTCTTCAGTACAAACGAGTATTAAAATGCTATAAATCGCTCTAGGGACCCTTGTTAAAAAGATCGCTTGGTAGAACTGGATAACAACGTATGGGGACAAGCCTATTAAATTGTGGTAAGAAAATTCGGGACAAAAGCTCATAACGAGCAGAACAGAAAAGATGGGCAAATCCCTTTTTCCCATAGCAAAGCCCACGGAATTAAGAGGCTTTACGGTCCAACCAGATGAGGTTCCCCCGGTAACAGTGAAGGAATTAATTTCAGAGGCAAGAATTGTGTGAAAGGCGCCAGGGCCGGATGAAATTTTACCCAAAGCAATAAAATGGGCAGTAAAGTCTGCAGTTAAATGGGCAGCGGCGGTGTTTACTAACCTCCTAAAAAATTGGACCTATACTGAAGACTTGAAAACTGCTTAGCTGGTACTGATACCGAAGAATACAACTGCAGGGGAAGAGGCGTACATACCTTTGTGCTTGATTGACTTGTATGTAAAACTCTACGAGAAGAATTCGCCAAGAGCTAGAGGCTGAAAACAACCAACACGGTTTCAGACCCGACAGGTCCACTGAAACGGCGTGCCGCAGGGTGTCCTTCACATGTAGGAAAATATGTGTCCTGGCGTAGCGGCATACCTTTAAAACATAGTGGTAAAGGTGGGCGAGGGGACGACAATTCCCATCTCATGCGAAGTTTCCCAGGGGTCATACTGAGGCCTTTGCTTTGGACCATAATGTACGATCCGGTGATCAATTTGGCGGTTCCTTTCAATGGTAGGTGTTGGAAGGTCGTGATAAGATATGGAAGACAGGCTTGAATACGTATTAGATTGGGTGAAAAAAAAATATTTTTGTTTTCAGAACGCTTTAGTAAGGAAAAGTTTTGCAAAAATCGCTCTTTTTTATTAAATTTTTATAAGTTAGTTAAAACTAAAATAAACACGCTTTATTTTTTTATGGTTTTATGGTTTAAATAATCTAAATAAATTAAATTCTGATCAATAATCTATGTTTTCCGTTTGCGCAACGTCTTAGGATAAAACAGAATTTTACAAATTTTTCGCAATTTTCACTCTGCAACACTTTGCTTCTTTTGTTAGAACAAAACGACCCAGAACTTACCACGTCGAGGTGGTTGCAAGTCCAGTTCCACCCACACCCTACCCAACCAGCCACCCAATTGTTGGTGGGATTCTTTCTCATATTTACTACACATTTAAAGTCCGATTTTTTAAAGAAATGAGGCATAATCGATCTAGACTTTAGTTTTGCTCGGATATACCCATCTCTAGCCTCATGTCCACATACTTTATTCAAGGCCTGTGTCACAAATTTGACGTACCTCTCCACAGACTGGATGTGACAGGGAAACTTTTGTAGTTCTCTGATGGGCGTACTGTCAGAATTGATTAGTGATTTAATATCATCGTCACTTAGGTCCCGCAGCAATGGGGAAGGATACATTACACAAGAATTCCAATTAATAATTTTAATGTAATCTGAAGCTTGAAGGTTTATTTTTGGTAGCACGAAATTTCTAACAGTCTTTTCCTTTGGGACGGTTTGCCTTGCTTTTAAGATCCTTCTGTAACCTAGCTTCCAAATATGTTTTCTTTTATCGTATTTCTATCAGAACATTCTCTGGGTGCGCAAATAACGCATTTCGTTGTATTACTGGATCGTCAAAGTAATTCGTCGGATAAATACCGTGATGTTAGGATTGCTTGAAAAACATGTTTTGGTTCGTCAGTAAAATATTTGTTTTTTTTTATGGCAAACTACACAGGCTTATATACAACTTATATACAACCTAAGAACTCGGTTGGCCGCAGTTAGCCATCTGGAATGGGACAAAGGACCAGGGTCCCAATTTTTTAAGTCTTTTAGACAATGTCCCAAGGTTATTGCATTTGAAATATCCAAGAAATTCTGTTGGTCTTTGCTTAACAAATTCCTGTCTATATCAGAAACCGAAGAATCTATGGGTTCATAATCGACCACAGAAAGTTTTTTACAGTAAGTGAGCTGTTGCCGGATTGACCCACTAATAGTTTTAGGCCCTTCAGTTTTACCGTCAATATATTGGAAAATGTGGCGAAATGGAAGCTCATTAAAATGCAAGAGGCATATGCTACACTGTTGTAGGGCAAAGTCAGTAATACATCACGTACCTTTTAACACCTTTATTGTTAGTACATTGTAACTTCACGACTGGGGACCAACTCTGCTGTTGGTGACCTAGTTTGGTCTTACCTAGCACCAGTATTGACCGATCAGCAATACGTGTACAATACGTGTACTGACGTGGCCAATACCACGCACTACATCTCCCCTTTCGTGATGAATGTACTTTATTTTGGCCTCAAATAAAGAACATTCATAAAATGTTGGTTTTAACAAACACAAATATCAACTAAACCTAAATAAATTAATCCTAGATAACTAAACTTAACAACCACTAACTGACCTAAGATACAAGATAAAATTACGTGTTGGAGTAGTAATTTGCATTTTAGCGTTATTTTATTTGGGGTCTTATTACACTCAATGTCAAAACGTTTATGACTTATCTAACAGCTACTTAATCACTTTTGTTTATTTACGCACTCACTTTCTCTCCACTGTGCAATTTTTTGATACTAAACTATACTATTTTAACAACTTATATAATTTGCAAAAGTAAATACTTAACCTTAGTTTTTATTAAACGGTTTTATTCTATTTTTATGCACCGTTAAGTGTTTACCTTTATATAAAACAGTACAATTAACTATGTCACAACTTATAACTTTGTAAGGACCCTTATACCACGGATCAAATTTAGTTCTAGTCTCATTTCGAATCATAACGAAGTCTCCTGAATTAAACTGAGATATTTTTGAATTACGGTCATAATCAGATTTACGTTTGTACTTGGCTTTAAGAATAAAATCCCTGGCGCGTATATTAGCTGTTTGCAGCCTATATCTTACTTCTTGGTAATATGCATCTAGGTTATACAGAGGATCAATGGAGTTATTCGATTTTGGTACGTTGTCTTGCTGGCCAAACACTAGCTCAAAAGGAGTGTAATTATGATATATGCTGGGTGTCGTGTTATAACAAAAACTGTAATAGTTTACCCACTCATCCCAATCAGTATGAGAATCGTTAATGTACATTCCGATATATTCGTTAAGAACACGATGGTTTCTCTCACATCCTCCGATTGTCTCACTATGATAAGCTGTAGAAAACTTTTGGCTTATACCAAGTAGTTCAGATAATTTTTGCAAAATCTCATTTTTGTACTCAGTGCCTCTATCAGTCCTGATTTCTTTAATAGGCCCATATATTAGGATGAACTTTTCCAAAATTGCTTTTGCGACAGTTAAAGCCTCTTTGTTTGAAATTGGTATGACCACAATATATTTGGTTAATTCACACTGAATTGTTACCGCATACGTGTTTCCACCTGCTGATATTTTAAATCGACCAATCGTGTCAATAGTAATTATGTCGAACGCCCTTTGTGGGGTTGGTGTTATTACCATTTGCTCCTTATGGCCTATTTTGCTTTTATTGAGTTGGCATTTTGCACAACTTTTTACGTAATTCGATACGTCACGAGACATACCTTTCCATCTGTACCTCATTCTTAACGTCTTTAAAAGTTTTTTCTGTTCACTATGACCTCCTGTAAGTGGATTATCGTGAAATTTTTCTAGCAGAATATTTTTATCTTTTCTATTGGTTATTAATTTTGGCTCGTCGTATAAAATTACCTTTGTTTTCCTTAGTATATCTTGTCCTATTTCTTTAAATTTATTTATTGTGCACATATTGAATATAGGATCGTTATTTTTTAATCTGACGTCATTAAATTTATATTCACTAGCCAATTCATCTAGCTTAAACAAGAGTTTTTCTAATAAAACTTTGCCTTTAGTGATATTTTCTGATAATACTAGTTTCGATTCACCTCTAAATTTTCCTAGTTTTTCCACAATTATCCTAAGATAATTGGGCGTAATCATAAATTTTAAGGTAGGTAATTTTACAACTGATAAGTAATCATTATTTACAATTTCTAAAATTTTTAGAATTTCCACTTTGTCACTTTTTTGTGAAACTGGTTTCACTTGATTTTTGTCTTTTGTCATTGACCTCGTAATTGCTAATATTTGCTTAGCGTTTTCGGAAATTGATTTGTGTTCGCTTATCGTTATTCTT